GTACAAATGAAATGTCATTAGATAGTATAGAAGAATTTCAAAATATTCAAGAAGAAAACTTATCACCATTATCTGAAGGTTTTTACCATTATGAAAATTATGAAAGTGATTTAAATTATGTTGGTTATATTTCTTTTGGTGAAATGTCACAAATTAGTAACATTCCAAAAGAATATGAAACTTTGATAATATTTTATTCGAAAATTTACAAAGTTATGAAGAAGAACTTGAAATTGAAAATATTAAAGAATTTTCAAACGAGATATATGCTGACTTAATAACATTTATTATAGAGAATAATCTTAGTAATAAAGCTGAAAACGTAATTATAAAATTCTTTAACAAACATTCAAATTTATCTCAATTATCACCTTTTCCAAAAAATATCGAAGCTGAACAAAAATTCATGGAAAGAATGAATATTTCACAATTATCTTATTCTAAATATTGTATATTTACTTATAATAGTCAAAAATATTTTATTTATTATCGTCCTATTAAAAATTGTATTAAAAACCTTTTATCAATTCTTGAAATATCTATGAAGATTTGGAGGTAAAGTGTATTTAAAAATTCCTTATATTATATTAATAAGTATTTAAATTGTTATTATTTATATAACATTAGTTTGAAAAGGAAAAATCTTATGGAGAACAAAATTCTGGAAATTGGTGAAAATATACAGAATCTTCAATTCCATCTGCAACATGTATTTTATCTCTTATTCTTTATTCAGATGTAACTACAACAGATAAATTAGGAAAAAGTTCATTATATCCTATTTACATATCTCTTGGAAACATTTCCATATAGCAAAGAAACAAGGAAAATGCTAAATAATTATTGGGATATCTTCTAATTTTATCTGCTAAAACTGATAAAGAAAAAAAGTCTCTTGAATTTAAGAAGATAGTTCGTGAAACTTTTCATAATTCTATTAAATTTCTATTAAATCCATTACTCAAAGATAGTAATAATGGTATAGATTTAAAAATAAATGATGAAAATATCTGATTTTATTCAAAAATATTTATTATAATCTGCAATTGACCAGAAGCATGTACTTTTTCATTGATTTATAAATCAGTCAATTCAAATTATCCTTGTCATTTTTGTCTAATACAGAAAGAAAATTTGATAAATACAAGAAAAGATGAAGTGATACTCCGTAACCATGAAAATATGATGGAACATTTTAACAATGATATTGATCATTCAAAAAGTTTAGAACAGGTTGAAAATTACTTTTGGAATATTCCGTAAGTTTTTATTTTTATATTTTTATTTATATATTTTTTTTATAAATATATTTAACTTTATCTATTTAAATTTAGAAATTTAAATATTTATGTAGCTACTGTAATTGATAGAATATATTACTTAGATTTAGGTTTATACCATTACCAAATAAAGTATATCAAATTATTATTGGAAAAATCTTTAATAAATAAAATGAGCTAGAGAATTGTAGTTATTTCAAGGTACCCAGGATTAAAAATATTTACAGGAGGATTACAAACTATTGCTCGATTAACTGCAAATAAATGTAGAGATATCATGAAAGTGATGGTATTTGTGGTTAATAATTTATTAAATAAGGATCTTTCAGAAGTCTATGTGAAATGGAATGAAATGTATTTACTGAGTAGGTTGGAAATATTTAAAGAAAGTGATATGAAAAAGTTCCAGATAATTTATTAATATATATTAATTAAATAAAAATAACAATGCTAATTATCTTATCAATGATACAGATAGCAATCAATAAATGGGCCAATCTATTTATTAAATTATTTTAAACATATTTACCTTCTGATATGAAATTTCCAAAGTTACACTCATGAATTTATCATATTATTGATACAATTCAAGAATATAGAGCAATAAATGGATATACAACTGAGACATATGAAAGTTTGCATAAAACTTATATAAAAATTCCATATCGTCTTAGTAATAAGAAAGATATAGAAAAGCAAATAATGAAAAATGTAGGTAAAAATAATTATTTATTAAATAATATTTCAAAACTTAATAATTTTTATATTTTAGATTCGACACCGAGTAATTATTTCGTAAGCTCGTATGGAAAAGAAAATTAAAACTCCAGTATCTTTTACATATACTGCAAAATTATTTGACTTTGACATTTCAGAATCTATTATTGACAAAAATAAAGATAACCCGAATTTAAATGAAAATATGATAAAAGGTTTTGTCAATTTTAGTGAGTGTTTAGATTTGTATCTTGCTATGCTTGATATAACTTTTACAAAATGTCGAATAAAGATATTTGGATCTGTTATATTAAAAAATGGTGCCATTTTACGTGCAACAAATAAATTTCATGGTCGGCCATGGTTTAGTAATATTTCTGTTAATATGAATAGTGAGGAACATTCTGAATATTTGTCAGATAGTGGAACTTGTTATGCACAGGTATATGCAAATTACAATATAACTTTAAATGATTGTCATAATAAATATAGAAGGTAATTAAATATACTTTTTATTTATTTAGACATTATTAATGACAGAAGTAATACTACCAAATAAATTACCATTGCATCTTGTACTTGTACAATGGTATGATTTTAAGTTACAAAAAATTCCATTTGTTTATAGTTGTCCTTTATTGAAATTAGTAGAATTGTATCATTTTATAGAAATTGAAATAATTGAAGATATAGTTCATATAATTTCACGATTTGATAGAACTAATGAATATTTTATTATTGATAATAGATCGATAAGACCTCAACTTTATTCATAAAAATAAAATTTTATTAATAATACATGAAGAATAAAATCTGACTAAGTTAAATAATTAACTATTGTTAACTATTATCATGGTTATGGTCTAGTCAACTACCGTAATAAGGCAAGCCTTATTATTGATTGACTACAGTCAAAACTGAATTTATACAAAAGATAATATTATTAATAATATTTGAATTGTTTTTATACACATCTGTTAATATATTATTAACTATTTTTTTACTACTTTCTATTAAAGATTTCTTTCTTTCTAAATAATTAAAGTCTATAAACCTTCTTCCATCTTTCTCTCTTTTTTCACTTTCCCCTATATTGTTAATCTCTTTCCACTGCAAAAACCGTTTACACCTTTCTTTCCATTCTTCCCATTTAAACTTTTTTAATTGACTAAAAGTATCAATTATTATTTCTTTTGTTTTTCCCTGAGAACTTGTTACCCATCTTATATTTTTATATATTGACTTAAATATTAAACCCCTTATTATTTCTTTTATATCAAATTTATCTCTTTCTTCTATTTCTCTTAGCTATCTACTATTATTCTTTTTTATTAAATTATTTTGTTATAATTCTGTTCTCAATTTATCCCATCCCCCAGCTCCTTCTACTTTAATATATGCTTCTCCTATAATTACTATAAGTATTTCTTCAAATTTGTACTTTAATTCTGTACATAAGAAAATATATAAATTCGTTTCATTAAATCTTTTGCAAAATAGACATCTTTTACTAGTATATGTTTTTGGTTTTCTCGTATTTAAGTTATCTATTGTCGATAACTCATCATTCAATAACTTTATAGTGAAGGTTCTATTTTTACTATCTTTATTATTTGTTTTATTAGATATTATTTTAGTTCCCATCCAAATTTTCTGTGACCATTTCCAGTTAGTTTCTAACATTATATTTTTGTTTAACCATCTGTGATTTCATTCCAATATAAATCAACTTACTGTATTATCTATAGCTTCTTTCTTTTAATAAATACTTTTATTGAGGTATCTTTTTTTCATTTAAAATGAAAAAACTTATTTCTTAATATATTTGAATTTATTTTTTATATTGGACCCAATTCTCTATCTTTTTTAGTCAAATCATCTATCTGTTCATTATATTCATTATCTTGGTATGCTGTAACTTTGTTTAAACCCAACATTATATTTTTTGTTATTAGTAATTCAGTAATCATCTGTAATCATTGGTCAAAAATTGATAAAATATACACATATCAGGTACCCGATATGTGCATGGTGTGTCCCTAATATCGGGCATATATCGGGTATCCAATAGGTGTAAAAAATATTTTATATTTATATCGGGTACCCGATAAGTGTAAAAAAATATTTTCTACACTTATCGGGTACCCGATATATGTTCAATATTAGGGACACACCATGTACATATCGGGTACCCGATATATGTATGTTTTATTAATTTTCGACCAGTAAATGTTATAGGATTACTATAATTACTCCAATGTTTTCCTTTTCTTTGTCCTGTATACCCTTTAATCGCTACTATAGATGCTTCACTATCTATATATATTTCGATTGTGCTATCATATAGAATTATTCATAAAACTGTCATTATAGCAAACAATTCTGCTCTTGTTGAAAATAGTGATCCTTCTATTCTCCCTTTCCATTCTATACAACTGTCATTCGAATTATCTGTTAATAGGATTACTCCAAATTCCATTTTTTAATTTTTCTTATCTATTGTATCTTTTGATTTATTTTTATTTTGATCAGCCAAAGATCCGTCTGTATATACTTTGATACCTAATACATTATGTAATTTAATTTTTGTTCGCTGTAAATTACTTGATGTATTATTATCCAATTTGACGATTTTTTCATCAAATTTCCAATTGTCTCCTTTTTTTATTATCTCTTTATTAGTGACCTTTTGTAGTTTGTTCTTGATATATTGTATTATAGAACTAGACAATATCAAAAGTCTTTCTCTTTAGTTTGTTTCTGCTAGATTACTTATAGATTTTTTTGATTTTCTACTTTTAAGTATACTGACTTCTTGAATATTTGTTGTTATTGCGCAATATATAAGATTTTGTTCCTCCCTGTATGTCTTATTTGTAGTTAAGATTTGTTCACTATATTCACATTCTTCGTATGGCCGGAATGTTAATTTTGGACTTTCGTCTATTCCCTCGCAAATCATATGTTTTATTACTATATCCTCGTCATCTTTCTTTTTCAATAGTCTCATAATTTTTCTTATAATTAAAATTTCATTATTTATTACTACCAATTGTCCCTTTTGTTCTTTTGTAATATCTAGCAATATTAATTTATTAATAGTATTCTCGACCAACATTGCTCTAATATCTTCTATTCTTATGAGGATTTGTTCTGTTATATCTCCATATCATAACATATTAAATCTGAGTATAAAATATTGATGTAACTGTTTAATATCACATATTTCATTTAATTCAGAATTTAAGAATTGTTCAATATACATTAGTCCATATTTCCCCAGACTAACTCTGTATTTATTGTATCATTCATCTAATTCTATAAATAATTCTATATCTATTATTCCACTTCCTACATGTACCGGAAAGTTCATTGTATCACTAATTTCTATTTCTACATCAGAAAATTTTTTCTAGTGAAAACTTTCGAAAGTTAACGTTAACGTAAGTATTTCGTTGTTTTTCGATATGTTATCCTTCGAAGGTCTTTGCTAACCTTCGAAGATTATCGATTTTACGAATATTATTATTTTCATAGTAAATTCATATTGATAACCTTCAAAAATTATCGATTTGAAATTTTCATGTGTAAAATTTTACGAATATTATCATTTTCGTAATAAATTCGTATCGATAACTTTCAAAGGTTATCGATTTTGATATCTTCATGTATGAAATTTTACAAATATTATCATTTTCATAGTAATTTCGTATCAATAACCTTCGTTTATGTTAGATATTCATAATATATCGTTTCGATGGTCATCACTTGTATTT